CATACACACAAAGTGAGAGAAATTACTGTATAACTCTGAAGCAAATTCTTATATATGAATATGCATTGAAATTTTTTTCCTACTAGTGAAGTCTTCAGTAGTAAAAAGATAGGTAATTTAATGAACATACATTCAATTTGCCAGTTTTCAGCAAGTAATGTTCTGCTATAGTCACCAACATGGCTGAAACAAAAAATAGCATTATGTTGAACAAAAAAGCTAGATACAAAAGAATATAAAGAGAATTATTTTATTAATAAGATTTTAAAGAATAGAAAATCTCACTAACAGATATCAGAACAGTTGTGATGAAGGTGAATATTAGCTGGTAAAGCATGAAGTATTAATTTAACTTTAAACCAACTAGGATCAATTTCATTTTTTCATCTCAAGAATTTCAAAATAAGAAAAGATACCTTCTAATTTGCATAAAGCTTGTGCATTATTGGAATAATCCCATTGTAGCTATCTTAGATTCCATTAAATACCTATGCAATTTACAAATAGTAGAACTATGTGTCCTAGAGAGAAAGCAGTTGAGGGTTGGCCTAAAGGTATAATGTCAGAATCCTTGAACTGAAGGCCATACTCTGCCTGAAACACAAACAGCTCCACAATACCAAGTCCTCTTGCTCACCATTGGCCATGAGTATTATCCTTTGTTAAAATAGTAAATGTATTTATTAAAATATATGCTTTAAAGCGAACTTCAAACCAAACAGTGTTGGCACATCTTAACTAGGCTCTTATGGATGTAGACAAAAGAGCAGAAGTAAACACTACACTTTCAGAATCAGGGGAATAAAATTTTAAACAAATTATAATAATGAAGTAAATTATAATAAATATAAATACTCTTATAGCAGTAATTTTAATCAAATTGAAGTAAATTTCTTGAAATATTTGTTATGGTTTAGATCTAAAATATCTCCCAAAAGTCTCATATTTGGCGACAGGGCCCAGCTGGAAGGAGAAGGTCACTGGGGGCATAAACTAGGAGGAGGTGTTCTTGTCTCAGGCTCCTCCATTTTTTTCTGTTTCCTCACTGCCATCACATAAGAGTTTCACTCTGCTATGCCCTTCATCTCGCTGTTTCTGCCCAGGAGCACAATGACTATGGACTAAACTAACTGAAACTGTGAACCAAAATATACACCTCCTTTTCAAAATTGTAAACCTTAGGTATTTTGTCTCAATGACAGGAAAGTGACTAATACCCTGTAATTTTCTTTGAAGACTATTCTTAAAATTTTTGTTTCAAAAATCTTTCAAATATGATAACTTTCTATTAATACAAGCATTACAGTGTTAATGAGTCATTGTTTCCTGACTAGGATACACACATAGAGGGACAATGACACCACACTTATTCAATGTAGTGATTAAATACATACAGGAGCAGAATATTTCATGGAGCACAATTTTCTATTGTTCTGATTATAAATAACATTTTAGTTTCTCCAAATATTGCCACAGTACCTGGGTGTGGTGGCCCATGCCTGTAATCGCAGCACTAGAGAGACTGAGGTAGGAGGATTCTTGCAAGTTCAAGAACAGCCTGGGCTACAAAGTGAGCTCAAGGCCAGCCTGAACTGCATAGTGAGACCCTGCCTCAAAAAAACCAAAAAAAAAAAAAAAAAAGACAAATATTGCCACAGTATCTAATAGCTTATACTACTATGGCAATGTAGTAAAAGGACATGCCTCCACAGAAAGGCTTAAACTTAACTCCTCAATCGCATTTTCCCAGAAGAAAAAGATGTGAAATATTATAAAAAGTTTGATATGAAATCATTCTTATACTTCACCTTGTTCGACTCACTCTAAAACAAGACTTTTGCAGATACATGTGTTAGAGGAAAAAGAAATCCATGTAGATCATTCCTCTACTGTAGGCATCTGGGTTCGGGATATCATTTACTTACAATGCCCACAGTAGTACTCATTCTGAAAAACTTATCTAAAACTTCTCTCTACTCCTTGCTGAGTCTTATATCTCTTTTCTTTCCTGTTTTTTTACAAAATATGTGATAGTTTAAAAAAAAACTGGGTTCTACATCATTATCTCTATCGGATTAGGCAAGCAACACAATTATTTCTTCATCAAAAGAGCTGGAATATCTCCTTAGAACGAGATGCCAAGAAATGATAAGACTTGCATGATAGTCATTATGCTAAATACTTGTGAAGGATAAAATGGACAGGAGCAAGAGTCATGTAAGAAGGACTCAGACTACGATGCAATTCTGACACCTAAGTAAAGAAAAGCACAAGAACTGAGTATGTAGGAAAATCTCAGACTGCAGTGTAGGTTTTAAACATCTCTGTAATAATGATAGGAAATCTTGATTGCAGCACAGATATCCTACCCAAAAAAGACCCATGTTAGGTAGAAATACACCAACACTAATACTTCCCACACACACTGATCAGTCATTGGCTGGCCACATCTTAGAATAAGCTGGCCTCTGCCTGAGAACTATAGTGCCCTTGAGTGTTAGCTATAGACTTCCAGGAAAGATCTGGTTTTCTTAATGTAGGGACTAATATTTTCTAATGCTGCCCAAGTGAACTTTCAAAAAGTAAACAAAGCCCCAAATTTTTGTGGATTTCTCATTCTTATTATATTTTATTAATTATTAGTTATAATGGAAATTAATCATAAGGGTTGTCTTAGTTACTTATTTCTCATTGGTGGAACAAAATACCTGACACCAAAATTAAGGAAGGAAAAGTTTATTTAACTGTCAGTTTGTGGAGGTTTCAGTCCATAATCAGCTGGCTCCAAGGCAAGGTGACATGGCTGAGGGGCAACAGTTAATGTCAGTGGAAGATAGCAAAAGCAACAAGAGCAAAAGGGAGAAACAAGCCTCTTTTCCTCCCTTACACTGTATGCAGGTTACCTGCCCTAGAGCAAGTATAGCACTCACATTGCCAATGCCATGTAATAGACAATAAAACAATCACACCTCTAGATTCAGCCACCTCTGTAAAGCCTGCCCTACTTGACTTCATGAGGCTTTGGGGGGACATCCAGACACAAACCACAACAAGGTTTATGAAAACATACTTTGACTCAACAGAGGTTTGATAATCTGAAAAATATATAGCATTCTAAGTATGCAAAGAATAAAAATGAGGGAGAAGTAGAGACACTATATGAAAAAGTGTCTATATTAAATATGTTTTATGTCTTATTCATGACACAGACTTTAAACTCACAAGATAATTGTAGATAGTATAGTATATTTTATTAATAAAGCAATTGTTTTTCATAATAATCCTCACTGGATAAGTAAAACAATGGCTACAATATTTCTATGAGCTTAATGTGCAGTGTTTTCCTACTGATAATAAAAATAAGAGTAATCGTAAGAACTGAATGCTCTTTTTCAGAATATTGAGTGCCGTTTTATCGTCAATAGATTGAAGATTTACAATGTAAGTCACCATGTTATGTTCTTGCAACCCTGGAAACACATGCATTATTTCCCTAGTCTACTTCCACTAATATTGGCTCTAGCAATAAGAGGTGGAGGTGTAATGGAGTATTACTCAGCTACTAAAAAACATAAATTCAAGGCTTTTGTAGATAAGTGGATGCAACTAGAGACCATACTCATAAGTGAAATAAATCAGACCCACATGTGCAAACATCACATTGTCTCCCTAGTGTAAGGGCCCAGAAGAGTAAATAAAACCCAAAAAGTACAATAGATAATATGAAAAGGAAAGAAATTACTCAAAAGAAGGAATAACTAGGATGAGGGAAAGAAGAAAAAGAAAGAAGGAAGGCAATGTATAGATAGATAGATAGATAGATAGATAGATAGATAGATAGATAGATAGATGATAGATAGCTGGGATAGCTGTACTGCTGATGTCTGATGGTTTATTGAAAGGAACAGTTAATTCTTATAATTTTTCATAGTTTGACCAATTTTGCATGCTTATATCTGGTAATCTGAGCAATTGATTTGAAGAAAACAATATGCAACAAAACAGCCATTGGTGAATTCTTACCATTTTGTCTAGTGAAACTATGTATCATTTCTAATGTTTTTTAATAATTATCTTTTATCCTCTTTAATGATTTGAACAATCTTCCATTCTTACATCTGGTAATTTGAGCAATGTAGTTGAAGATAATGATATGTAATATAACAATCACTGTTAATTCCTATAATTTTGTTTTGAA